ACACACACACACACACACACACACACACACACACACACACACACACAGTAAATGAATTACTCACTGCAATGTATTATTCTTGAGCTGGTAAAAAATAGCTACATAAAGAACAGGAAAACAGCCTCTTTCCTGAAATATGTTTTGTTTTGCAATAAAGAAACGTGCCCTCTTCTGGTCAGTCATTGTGGCTTGATTTTAATTTTAGTTTATAAAGCTGATTAAAGATGTATGGACTTATGAAGGGGCGATTCTAGAATCTGACCTTTAGGGGTGCTTAGCCCACATTTATATAATGCTTTACTTGGGCTTTATTTAAAAAAAATTACCACATTGTCTTTAACAATCTTGCTGATGACATTCATTTATTCAGGCCTTACTAATCTGTCTTAGAAACATACAAATAAGGATGGTGATAAAATCCTTCAACTGAACAAAAACTCAACAGGAATAATTTCATTTCAGTCTAATCTCTTAAATAGTTACAACAGTGTAAATGACCATTTAGATCCTTATTGTGACCTGTAGACAAGAAATCTTGGATTTAATCAGAACTTTGAACTTGATAGATTAGTTCAGTTGTCCATAAATTAATACAACCAAGAATCTGATAGATGGCTTTGATACATTTACTGCCTTCTTTTGATTCTGTTCACACCATTAGAATGTCTTTGTATGTTGGTTTTATTCACCTAAATGAACTTGGCTAAATGTTTCCATCCAAACCCTTTGTTTTGGATCATCTTAGATCCAGGCTCAAAGGCCGAGGTGACGGATGTGGCCCCTGATCAGTGAAACATCTACTTTTGAAAATTAGAACTCAGTTTGTTAATCATTTTAAGGTAAAACGAGCTTCTTATCAATGACTTTTACTTCGGCTGGAGTGAGATATCAAGCTGTTTATTGTGCAAGCTTAATTCATTATTTTTTTATTTAAGCTTTTATGGTGTAGAGCTGAGGCGGCAGCATGGTGGCACTGTTGGTTGTTGCCTCTCATCAAAAGTATCACCAGATCAAATCCCAGCTGGGTGGGGGGGCTTTTTGGGCAGAGTTTTCATGTTCTCTCCGTGCATGTGTGCATTTCCTCCCACAGACCAAATACATGCATGTTAGGCTGATTCATTGGTAACTCTAAATTGTCCCTAGGTGTGAGTGAGAGAGTGTCTTCATTTGTCTCTGTCCCTGTGATGGACTGGAGACCTGTCCAAGGTGTCCTCCACCTTTCATGCAGTGACTGCTGGATATGGGCATCAGTGACCCCCGCAACCTGAAAAGGAAGAAGTGGGTAAAGATGATGGATAGATGGATGGATGGATGGATGGATGGATGGATGGATGGATGGATGGATGTGCTATAGAAATAAACAACTTGTGTGGCTGATACGAAAATAAAGACTGCATTAATGAATATTAATCACAAAAAACACACTTAGCTATATTTGTAATCACAAATCAATCTTTTTCTGTAAACCTTTACTATCCTGCCCTTCAAAACCACTTTTTTTTTCATTCAACCTTTATTTATACAGGTTAATCCCACTGACTCATTTACAAGAGGCTCATTTTGTTTGAACCTAAGATAACCTTTCAGACTTTTAGCTTCAGTATTTTGATCCATAGAAGGATCTCTGTTTCATGGAGTAAAACAAGCTTCTCTTGACACACTTTTAGACCTTGAGGTTTGTGGTTGAAAAACGTTGAAAGTCCTCCATTTATGTAGGAGATGTGTTTACTTTAAATGCATTTTCTGAACAAGGGTCTGTTTAATCATCTTCTTATCTTCATACAGATCTTTAGACTAATATCAGAAAGAAGGACACAAAATACCCATTATTACATTTCCTAAATTAATTTGCATTTAATCTGATTACACGGGGGTGCAGTTTGTGTAAAACTCCAAAGAGTAAAACTGAGTCAAGAGCAGCTTTCCCATACGCAGAGGAAAATGTCATAGATTTTTATCTCAAAAGGCTGAATAAAAAGCTATCTTTAAAAGATGGTAGACAGAAAAGTGTCACAGCAGAACCGTGCTGTGGACTGAACACTCCTGCTGTCATGGATTTCCACACAGGTAAGAATCTTGTGTTTGGGTAGTGAAACGCTGAGGCTTTCATGTTGGCTGCATATCTGTAATCTCAGTCCACATGTGCATTCGGCACTGATTATCTTCCGTGCTCGCACTTGTCGCTGCTGCAGGCCTCTTCTTGGTGTGCATGCTTTTTGCACGAACATGCTGCCAGCCTCTGAGGAAGGGCACAGAAGACGGGGCCTTGGCCTCCACCGTGAAAACATTGATGGAGGAGATACAGAGCATGCTGGGCCACCTTGTAAGTATTGTATGCATATTTTAACAAATAAAGGCAAATATTAATTTAATAAGAACTTTTTAAGCCCCCCAAAAAAGAAAGAAAAATCATCTGCAACTTCCAATCACTAATTTCATGTAGCTTATATTTATTGAAATATTGGACGTATAAAGTTTATAATCCTTTCCTTTCAAATAATAATAAAAAATAAATACTACAGCATAAAAGTAAAAAAAATAATGTATTAAAAAAAGGAGGATAGACACTTTTAGCATTTAAAAAAAGCAATTTAATGGTCACAAAATGTGACAAAGAACTTGTGTAGACGTCAACTGATTAGTTTCTTATGGCCAAGACTGATTTTTGAGACAAGAAACAATTATTTTTATTTTTTGGGACAATAGGTATTTTTCCATTTTAAAAAATGTAGCAATAACTAACCATCTTAAATAAATGTATATTACCCTTAGATTCAAAATAAACTGTAGAAGAGTATTCTCATTTAAAAACACTAAACTGTGGGCTTCAGAAAGCTGCTTGAAGCAGCTGCTGCATCATTCTCCTCATTGATTTGGGTACAATTAGGTCTACACAAGTTTATCATAACCTCAAATAAGTAGGCTGAAATATTTTTGCTCCCTCGCAGTCTGCTCCAGGGCTGCTCCCGAACATCTCCTGCGGCTCCCTGAACATGACGGAGCTGCTCCCGCCAGAGCACCAGCCCCTCACCGTTCACATCTCCACCTTCAGCTGCTACATGCAGGAGTTTGCTGAGCCCATCCCCGAGCTGTCAGAGGAGCTCAAGACAAGTGCGCAGTTCATGCAGGATGTGGAGCGCCTACTGAGCAACCAGACCAGCTCCAAAAACTGCAGCCTGCCCACCTTCGATACGGCCCTGGACCCTTACATTAATGCAAAGTGCTTCCTGCAGCATGTGCAGAAAATACTGCCAAAGCTCTGATGTCTAGTCATTGTTATTTATTTTTTAACAGTCATAACTCACATTTATATTTACCGTGACTTTTTTACAAATTATTTATTCAGAAACAATTATTTATTAATAATAAAATGATAAAAAGCTGAGATTGTTTTCACGAGTTTATTTTGATTCAGAGTCAACATGTAAAACGAGTCCGAGAACTGGAAAAACATACAGCATAAGAAAATAGATTTATTTTCCCTTTGACACACACAAAGTAACAGAAATATGGGAACAACAAATGTAGATCCCATCTGCAATATACTGTACATCAATAAGGCAAAATGTGCTCAAAGAAGAGGCAAACAAACAGGTGAAATTCAACTTGTAAATAATTTAAAATTGACTGAATGAGAGAGGAAAAAACAAAATGCATCCTCACACAACACTGCAGGTGAAGGGAGAAAAATTGGTGCTTTTTCATGCAGCTATTCAAAAGAAGAAGAAAAAAATAATGCAAAGAGAAACAAAATCATTTAAGCAACAATGAAAACATTAAAATGTGCTTTTTATTTTCCAAAAACACCAATCATTTAGTTAGCAGTATAAACAGCTTTCAGTTCCTGTATGGAAAAAACAGAATCCTGCAGGTGTTTATAAAGTTATTTGAGCTTCGTAATTTCCAAGAAAACAACAAGAACAGTGAGTAAATTCTTGAAATTTTGGATTTAAGTTGACTAAAGCAGAATAAAGATGCCTGATCAGACGGGGAATTTTTGGGATGAGGAGCTTATAAACTGCAGCGATTTCATCTGGACTCCAACATTCAGCTAGAAAACCACTGCACGTTTCAGCAGAGCTAAATCTTGACACTCGTTGCTAACTTTCCACAGGTAAAATGTCTCAAAATGCCAAACCTCTCATTAAAAGACCCTTTCAACCACAATTTAAAAAAAAAGACTGCACTCTGAAAAAGGCACATACATCAAATAAAATTGTGCCTTTTACTTCTGTAAACGCTCTCCAAAAATATGCATGTATAAAAGAACTACATGCCAAAAACATACATCTGCCTGAGGAGCGATGAGCAACATTTCAAAAACAAACAAACAAAAAAACATATCAGCGAGCAGTAACTACAGGTAAGGACACTTTTGACCATAAGGCTGATGTACGACAGCTCATTCTGCATCTTTTACCCTGATTTTGTTCACAAAGTATGCAGAGAGCTACATCAAAAGTCTGATGTTCTACAGTGGTGAACCAGCTCTTCTAGAATATGGCTTGTGTTGAACTTCATGTAAGAAACGCACAGAAAGCATGTGTAAACTAGTCACAGTGATGGAGACGGACAGTCTTTTTGCTGAGGTCTCTATTTGGGGGTGGCATGGTGGTGCAGTTGGTAGAGCTGCCGCCTCCCAGCAAGAAAGTCACCAGTTCAAACCCAGTTTCATCCCACATACCAAAAACATGCATTTTAGGCTGACTGGTGACTCTAAATTGTCCCTACGTGTGATTGAGAGGTTGTCTCGTTTGTCTCCATGTGTCCCTGTGATGGACCTGTCCAAGGTGTCTCCCGCCTCTCGCACAGTGACGGCTGGATATGGGCACCAGTGACCTCCGTGACCCGAAAAGGAAGAAGCGGGTAAAGATCATGGATGGATGGGTCTTTGTTTGTTCAGATGAATGCACAAAACTCTTACACACAAGTGTAACCCTGAGTCATCATCAAAGAAAAAACCCTCCTGCAGAGAAGGTGGTGAGATACTGTACGCAAATATATAAAATGTGTACCGCTTTGTAGCGTTGCTCTCTGAGGGCTGTAAGTAATTTGACTCCATCAGGCCGATTGTGGTGGTAAAAACTAAAGATTGACAGCATTGAGTTGTAGTTTGCCATTTTTTTTAAAAAAAAGCACCAAAAACAAACGGGCAGAATGTGCAAAAGGTATCAAATCAAAGTAGACAGAAACTACAAGATAAACTCTAGTGTTAACAGATAATCTAACATTTTCCTGAGTAAATAAGGGATGTGAAATGGAGCAAAACTCTAACTGGACATGCCCCCTCAGGTTATCTACCGGTACATCCAGGTTTTCTACATCGAGTCTTTTGTAACAAGAAAAACAAAAGTCAAATAAGAACACCTACATTAAAACTACAGTTCTAGTCTCCACATTATAAAAAACACAATCCCACCTTTATCTTCTGGTAAAAAAAATGCTTTCATTCTGAATAAACATTCATTCAGTATTTCCCTTTTTAACACAACGTTTCAAAACCACAAGGAAAACCCTTTTCTTGATTTAAAACGTAAAGTACCAGCTTACATTGAAGTGTTTAGAGGATTGTCACCTGGAGAAGGCGAAGTAGTCACTGCATCAGTCCTGTCAGTCAACATATGAACGACCGTCACATTAAGAGCCAAAGAAACACAGCCCCACGTAGGGTTCTCTTGATTTCTCCAGTATGGATGGAAGACACGACGACTTCCTCAGATGTCTTACAAGAACGATAGATACGTTTTCCCAATTATTGAGGTGAAAAATGTTCAGATAACTTTTGGGTCACCTGTGTGCGTGGCAGCCTCGACGGCTTCTTTAGGCAGCAGGGAGGGATCGGTCAGGATGGACGTGGTTGTGCACAGCTGGCGGAGCGTACTCAAAACCACTGAAAAATAAAAGAAATTCATCTCATTACTTTCAAACCATGTCATGCTCTCTAATCAGTACCTGCTTACATAAACTAAATAGGCAATAAAAAAAAAGATTACAATGTAGATGACTAAAAACATTAAAATACTCCTGTTGGTTATATTTTCATTCACTAAACTTGCATCAGAAGTGTTTTTTGCCCCACATTCACAGCAGAGCTGTGTCTGATGCACAACATGAGGAATACAGAGCGTCAAGGCACGTCTTTTTGTTGTAGTTACTAAAAACAGCTTCTTCCCTCAGATAAAAGTGAGGTTAAAGGTCAGTGAAAGACCACGGTAAACCTGTGGGCTGTAAAACACACGTACAGTGCCTTGCGAAAGTATTCGGCCCCCTTGAACTTTTCAACCTTTTGCCACATTTCAGGCTTCAAACATAAAGATATAAAATTTAAATTTTTTTGTGAAAAATCAACAAGTGGGACCAATCGAGAAGTGGAATGAAATTTATTGGATGTGTCAAACTTTTTTAACAAATAAAAAACTGAAAAGTGGGGCGTGCAATATTATTCGGCCCCTTTACTTTCAGTGCAGCAAACTCACTCCAGAAGTTCAGTGAGGATCTATGAATGATCCAATGTTGTCCCAAATGACTGATGATGATAAATAGAATCCACCTGTGTGTAATCAAGTCTCCGTATAAATGCACCTGCTCTGTGATAGTCTCAGGGTTCTGTTCAAAGCGCAGAGAGCATCATGAAGACCAAGGAACACACCAGGCAGGTCCGAGATACTTTTGTTGAGAAGTTTAAAGCTGGATTTGGATACAAAAATATTTCCTAAGCTTTAAACATCCCAAGGAGCACTGAGCAAGCAATCACATTGAAATGGAAGGAGTATCAGACCACTGCAAATCTACCAAGACCCGGCCGTCCCTCTAAACTTTCATCTCGAACAAGGAGAAGACTGATCAGGGATGCAGCCAAGAGGCCCATGATCACTCTGGATGAACTGCAGAGATCTACAGCTGAGGTGGGAGAGTCTGTCCATAGGACAACAATCAGTCGTACACTGCACAAATCTGGCCTTTATGGAAGAGTGGCAAGAAGAAAGCCATTACTCAAAGATATTACAAGTATTTTAGTTACAAGAGATTGTAACTAAAAAAAAAATAGTAGAAAGAAGTTTAAATAACCCAAAGGACATGGAAAGAGGACAAACGTGCCCACGAACGCTGAAAGAAGCAGAAATTCACACCAAAAAGCAGAAATTTGCTGAAAAATGCAGAAATTGGCCAAAAAAAAAAAAAAAAAAAAAAGCCAGCTGAATAGTAGCTAAAAAAATAGAAAGAAGCTTAAATTACCAAAGAGAAGTGGTGTGCACAAATGTGCCCACTAAGGCTGAAAGAAGCAGATATTGGCACAAAAAAGAAGAAATAATCTGAAAAAGCAGAAATCTGCCAAAAAAAACAGCTGAATATCTAAAAAAGTATAAAGAAGCTTAAATTACCAAATGGAAATGGAGTGAGCACAAATGTCCCCACCAAGGCTGAAAGAAACAGAAATGCGTACAAAAAACTATGCAATTATCTATTAAAAAAGCAAAAAATTGCCAAAGGCAGCTGAATAGTAGCTAAAGAAATGTAGAAAGAAGCTTAAATTACCAAAAGAGAGTGGAGTGACCACAATTGTGCCCACTAAAGCTGAAAGAAGCCGAAATTAGCACAATAAAGTTTAAATTATCTGAGAAAAGTTGAACTTTGCCAAAAAAGCTGAATAGTAACTAAACCAAGAAGAAAGAAGCTTAAATTACCAGAAGGAAGTGGGTAGAGCATGATTTTGCTGAATTAGTCTGACAAAAGTTGAAATGATTGCAAAAAATGTGGAATTAGCTGAAAAAGCTGAAATTAGCATAAAACAGCTAAATATTAGCTGAAATAGCTGAGATTAGCAAAAATAAGCTGAAAGGAGCATAACAAACTGGAATTAGCAGAAATTAAGAAGCACACAAATGTTGGACTTAGCTGAATAATGATGTCAGTGTCAACTCAAAATAAACAAGGTCACTGAAGGGAAACACATTTAAACAAAGAAGTGAGAAGGTTGTAAAAACATTCAGTGAAACCTGATCGTCATGAGTGTTTTGATCTGTATCAGAAATTTGTTGCATTGTAAAACTCCCCGTTGTGTCATGGCAACTGAGTAATAATTCAGGAAAATACAGACCGATGCAGAGGCAACAGTGAAAATCCCTGAGACTGGAACAACCACTCGCACAGATTATGTGGGCAGATTTGAACTGCCCAGACATTTTAATGTCAAACAGTTGCATTTGTGAATTAATCACACTGTATTTAAAACGAGTGACATTTTTACTTACTGGGTCTGAGGACGGGGAGGGAGCAGTGATCATCGAGCCACTGCAGCGTGGTCTGATACAGCTCCGCCTTGCTCGTGGTCGACACCATTCCATTGAAAGACTCAAAGAGGGGCTTGATAATGATGCTGAACTAAAAAGGTAATACAGTTAAGGAATATTTTACTTCGGAGAGAGACAGGTATGCAACTCTTGATCTAAAAATAACCAAGCAGCAAATTCTGCAAGCATCTACGACCAGAAAAGAAGAAAACGAGCTGAGAATCAAAAGCTTTACCCTCTGCAGAAACACAGAGCTGCTTATTTTTAGGTCTATTGAAGGAAGCTTGTGCAACACTGAATTTTGCAGGAAATCCATCATCAAGTCTCTGCAGTATATTAAGGGTAGAAGTCAAGACGAGCTCAAACTGGAGTTCAGTTCATTAATGTACATTATTAACCTCTGGTGCAGAGAAGGTACTTAAAAAGCAGCTGTCAATACTGAAACAAGGAAGGAAAGTTGTAAACAAACATCACTCCTGAGTGGTTGCGTGCTGTAGTCCAGTCAAGGACTGATGCTTACTGATCATCATCAAGATTTGAGTTCTGAGATCAGAGATTTGCTACAAACCAGAAATAAAACTTCAAAGAAAATGTGTTCATCCTTTATGCTGAAAAGCAAATACACATACCAGATTAATTACAACAGGAGAGAGAGAGAGACTCATTAAAAGATTAATTATAAGCAGGACAAACTTATTCAAACACAAACTATGGACAACTCCATTTGTTTTCCCCGTGGTGTGCCCAAGATCACTGCTGGTGGTGGCAGAAACAAACAACTCACTGCCATGAACGTAGTGACACCTCTGCCACGAGGCTCAGCAGGAGAGTTACTCTGCAGAAAGGAAAAACTGAAAAAACACACAAGCTGCTCCGAAAACCTTCAGAACAATTTGTGCATTTCCTCTGCAACAGTGTATGATGCAACAAACATTCGGCGACTGCGAGCAGCACCAATGATTATCTGATGCCGCCAACTAAACTTCAAAAGAAATCTTATCAGAGTTGTGAGAACAGTGGCACATAAAGAGCTGTACTGTGGCTACAAGGATTACTGGTGATGGGTAAACTGAGTCACTGGTGAAGTGACTCAAATGTGACACGCTGCTTTGCGCAAGAGGCACCGGCCCACCAAGAAAGGTAGGGGATTCCTTCCTGAACTTGATAAACAGCTAAATACTTTTCTTTTTTCATGATACAACATAGCTACCATACCAGCAAAACTTTCAATGCTTGTCTGTGAATGTGTGCATCCTTGACTGTACATGGGCATTCCACATCACTATTTGATTTATTTGGGGGTTTTAGTAAACGGCAGAGAGTAAAACTGTCTTGTGGAAGGATACGATCCAGAACTTCCAGTTCTGAAGAGTGCGGGTCTTTACGTAGTCACTGAACTTGTCCTGCATGTGGTCTGAGCGGTTCCGCCTCACTGGCACACCTGTCGCAGGTAGCTGCTCCTGACACAAGCTGAGGTTAAACAGTGAGGGGAGACAGACAGAACAGTTAAAGGTTTTTAGTCTGTCCAACTTTTGCACATGTTAAGAAAAGTGAGAAAATGCATTGTGCTAAATACAGAAATGGTTAAATCAGGCCAGTTTTTCTTTACTTTGCTTCTTAGAAGTTAGGCTATTTTGTAATAAAAAAGTGGTCTTAATTATTAGTTCTGGCATTTTGAAGGTCTTTTGGACTTTAGCTGCTTCTACACCCATTTAACCTTTAAATTTGTTGCGTATACATTTTTCAGTTTTACTTATTCTGTACTTATTAGTCTTTGTTTTATTGTGATTACATGTGTAGTTAAACGTAAGCAATATATACAGGTCCTTCTCAAAAAATTAGCATATTGTGATAAAGGTCATTATTTTCCATAATGTAATGATAAAAATGAGAAGCATCCTGGGCCTCCATAACACCTCAGCAGTGCCACAGGCTGATTGCCTCTATGCCACGCCGCATTGAAGCAGTCATTCATGCAAAAGGATTCCCGACCAAGTATTGAGTGCATAACTGAACAGGATTATTTGAAGGTTGGCGTTTTTTGTATTAAAAACACTTGTCTTTCATTGGTGGGATGAAATATGCTAATTTTTTGGGACAGGCATTTTGGGATTTCATGAGCTGTATGCCATAATCATCAGTATTAAAACAATTAAAGACCTGAAATATTTCAGTTTGTGTGCAATGAATCTGAAATATATGAAAGTTTCATTTTTATCATTACATTATGGAAAATAATGACCTTTATCACAATATGCTAATTTTTTGAGAAGGACCTGTATATATCTGCAGTAAATGAACAGTTTTTGAAAGTCATATTGAAAAACAGGAAAATGATCCTTCTATGACCCATTACCAAACCTAAAGGCCCGGTCACACTACAGTGGTGCTTGAAAGTTTGTGAATCCTTTAGAATTTTCTATATTTCTGCATAAATGATCTAAAACACACATCCGGCCAGCGGGTAAATTCAGTCTGACCCACCAATGAGTTCATAATTATCTTTTATTTATTTATTTATTTATTTATTTTTACTTTGGTTGGGGGGTGGGGTCTGGCTTTGGGTTTTGTTTATTGCATTTATGATTCAATGCACCAAAATAAACAAATGTGAAAGGTAACAGATCATTGTAATACTCAATTCATTTTACAGAATGGCTTTAATCGCTGGATGTCCAGCCCTTGAGCTGCTGGCTTTCAGAAACTGCCCTGACCTAAAACATCATCAGATTTTCACACACGTCCTAAAAGTAGATCAAGAGAACCCAGCTAAACTAATGAGACAAAAATATTATACTTGGACATTTATTGAGTAAAATGATCCAATATTATATATTGTATTATTCATTAAACCTTTATTTATACAGGTTAGTCTCACCGAGCCTTGAGGACTCATTTACAAGAGAAACCTGAATTTTAACAGAGTGATGACAACAGTAGACAATCATAAAAGAAAGCATATACATTGAAAAAATAAATGGAAGAAAATTATATTTAAAAAAACAAAACAAAAACAGCTAGACTGTAAAGCGATGTAGAAAACTAAGAACTAAGAACATGTCTGCATTGGGTTTTCCCAGGAACTTAACAGATGTTTAAAGCCACTTAGAGAGGTCAAGGTCGAGAGCTTCAGATGTTTTTGCAAGATATTCCAGGAAACAGGAGCGGAGCAGGAGAAGGCCCTTTTATTCAATCCGCACAGACTCTGCATGTAATAATGTCTTCAGAGTGCACGCTGTAGCTGCACTCATGCAGTGACATGTAGGATATATATCTATAGCTATATATATTATATTATTATTATTACTATTATTATTATATTGTCCAATATGAATGACAAAAGAATGTGAACCTCTAGGATTAGCAGTTAATTTGAAGGTGAAATTAGAGTCAGGTGTTTTCAGTCAATGTGATGATGATCAGGTGTGAGTGGGCACCCTGTTTGATTTAAAGAACGGGGATCTGTCAAAGTCTGCTCTTCACATCATGTTTGTGGAAGTGGATCATGACACGAACAAAGGAGATTTCTGAGGACGTCAGAAAAAGAGTTGTCTCTATAAAAAAGAAACTGTCCAGATGGCCTGATTGAGAATGATTAGATATGATACCTGGATGATTGAGCATGAACTTTGTTGTCACACCATAAGTTGTTTGCCAACCGCCAATAAAAACTGAAGAAGTCTGCTCTTCACAACATGTTTGTGGAAGTGGATCATGACATGAACAAAGGAGATTTCTGAGCAGCTCAGAAAAAGAGTTGTTGATGCTCATCAGGCTGGAAAATGTTACAAAACCATCTGTAAAGAGTTTGGACTCCACCAGTCAGACAGATTGTGTACAAATAGAGGAAACTCAAGACCATTGTTACCCTCCCCAGGAGTGGTGGATCAACAAAGATCACTTCAAGAGCAAAGTGTGTAATAGTCAGCGAGGTCACAAAGGAGCCCAGGGTAACTTCTGCAACTGAAGGTCTCGCTCACATTAATGTTAATGTTCATGAGTCCACCATCAGGAGAACACTGAACAACAATAGTGGGCATGGCAGGGTTGAAGAAGAAAGTCACTGCTCTCCATAAAGAACATTGCTGCTCGTCTGCAGTTTGCTAAACATGGCATAGACAAGCCAGAAGGCTGTTGGAAGAATGTTTTGTGGCTGGATGAGACCAAAATATATATTTTTTGGTTTAAATGAAATGTTTTATGTTTGGAGAAAGGAAAACTGCATTACTGCACAAGAACCTGATCCCATCTGTGAAACATGGTGGTGGTAGTATCATTTGGGCCTGTTTTGCTGCATCTGGGCCAGGACGGTTTGCTGATGGAACAATGAATTCTGAATTATATCAGAGTATTCTGAAGGAAAATGTCACAACATATGTCCATGAACTGAATCTCAAGAAATTCTCAAGAGGTAATCAACAGTTACTGGGGAAAAAAAAAAGGGGGGGGGGGGGGGTCAAATACTTTTGCCACTCACAAATATGTAATATAGGATAATTTTCCTCAATAAATAAATTACCAAGTAGAATATTTTGTCTCATATGTTTAACTGGGTTCACTGTATTTTTAGGACTTGTGTGAAATTCTGATGATGTTTTAGCTCATATTTACGCAGAAATATAGAAAATTCTAAAGCATTCACAAACTTTCAAGCACCACTGTATAACATATTCAAGAACTTATGTTGACCTATGTAAATTGTGTCCTACACGCAAACATACGCAGAAGATGGAATAAAAAAAATCAACTGGATGTCTTTTTTGGCCGTATATTTAATGTATTGCTAATGAGTTGAACAAATACATAACCTTTGTGTAACTTAGATGTAACTTGTCCATAGCTTATACATAACTCATACAAGCATATGAGAGCGTTTTTTGATTTGTGCAAAGGTTGAGATCAATATGAGAGTAACTTCTACAGAGCATGATGAAGCAGACTGTGATGAGGGCGGCTGCCCCACAGTGACATATAGCATCAACATTTGACAAAAATGTCAAACACACTTACATAAGTTGCATAGTTAAGTGTAAGTTTTGAGAAAGTTTTCAGGATGCTGATATATGATGGCATAAGTTTGTTGTTTGGTGATGCCTTAAATACTCTTAAGGTCCTGTCACACAGTGCCATATTGCAACAGCAGTTATGTTGATCATCAACTGTATGAGGAGTTTTTAGATAATAGCTCTTGTTGGTGATAAAATACTATTTTATGAGTCAAATTGTGTTATCACATGTTTTTAATAAATTCATTTAAAAGAAATGAGAACAAATTGTGTCTCTGTGACAGGCTGATTGTAACAAAGTGTCTGAAAATCTCATTTAAAATTTGCTCATTTCCTGTTGTGCGTCACCACAACACTGGTTCGTCCTTCGAGTTCAGGAGCTTTTTTAATGCCTGAATGGTTCAAAGTTAAGTGGTCTGACAAGAAAAAACAAACAAAAAAATCCTTTAAAAATAATTACGCATTGGACTGAAAATTAGCACAAAAAATAAATAAATAAAATACAGCCAAAGTCCAAACAACTATTAAGACTTTTTAAAAAGCCTGAACTACCGGTACTACTGATGGAAACCATTTTAAAGACATCCCAAGAAAATTCCACTCAGAAGCTAATAAAAAAAACAAGGGATGACTCAAAACTTTTGCACATCACTGTCCATAATGTTTTGGATTACCTAATAGAAGCATTGAGCTCCTCTATCTCCTCTCGTAGCCTCTTGACCTCTTCCTGTATCTGCTGCCTCTCCTGCTGGAGCTTCCCGATGTGCTCCACCGTCTTTTGCAGCGTGACCGCATTTGTAATCTGAAGCCACAAAGTCATGAGACAAGAGCTGCGGAGTTCTAGTAACAGAAGACGTATGAACAGACTTACGTTCGACTGTGACTTCAGAGTGGGAACAAGGTTTCCGAGTGTCTTAAAGCCAATATTTATGTTGCATCGCCTCTTTTGTTCAGCAGATATGTGGGTTGTCCTCCGGTTCTGTCACACACCAGTGAAAATATTAATTATGGAGTGTTTCACATACTGGATGAAAAAAATATATGTTGATGTTCATCAGGATCGCACATGAAGAGTGGGTTTATTAATTCAAACATGTGAACAGATAATAAAAACTGTAACAGACACAAACCTGATTGTACTCATTCTTTACCAAAGCTGAGCTGCTGATGATGATTGACTGCGGACTGGGAACTTGATCAAATCCACAAGGCGACCCTTGACTGGTTTCCTGCTGATTGTGAACTGCACAGAAACCCCCCCCACAGAAATGATTTTTTTTTTTAAAGAGACACTAAGTTTAGCATTTTGAGAAGCTTTCAGTTTAGAAAATAAATCTTAACGCCACCTGAAGAGGTTTCTTTCTGACTGTGTCGGCCAGTAGAAAACAACTTCTCTTCTAGGACAATGGGCTGAGGAGACTTCTGCGAATGAGGCAATCTAGAGGCCTGAAAAAAAAAATTACTAGGAATGAGAGTTGGTGCAAAAAAGACTTACTTTGTTACTAATCAGAAAAGCTAAATCTAAAAGTTACCACAGTGTAATTTATGACAGATTTGAAAATTAAATAAAACCATACCGCTGAAAAATGGGATGTAGTAATGACCACTCCAGTGGTAGGTGGGGATGTACCAAAAACAGAACTGGGATGACCTGGGAAAGGGGCTGAGAGGATTTGCATTTATTCATATTTGAATTAAAACAAGTCACAGACCAGTTATGATTGACATATTAATATTGACATATGGTTTCCTGACATATGATTTATATAAAAAAGACAGTAAACTGAAGCATCTTTGAGACAGAGTAATTTGTGTGTAAATGTCATTTTTCAAGACACCCTTCCACTCTCAGATAAACCAAAACTTAAGTTTAAATAAGAACACCGCTGACCTGGGAAAATGAGGTGGGTAGAAGGAAGAGAATTAGCAGGAGTGAACCGTTGCACAGAACGGACTTTGCTGGAAGTGTTTGCCTGAAAAGAGCGAGGCAGAGCGAAAGCCTGAGGATGCTGCTTGTGAGAAGCCGGCAGTGGAGCCAAAGGCTGGAGCTGGGACGGAGGAGCAGAGATGTGGCTGAAGGTGGTGGCTGTGTCACTGGGGGTGACAGTAGAGGGGGCGGTGTGTGTGATCACAGTAGGAGTTACTGCCTCATCCAGCACTGAGGTGTTGTTCAAGGGTAAAGGCACCATGGGTGCTGCTGGAGCCAAATTCTGGCCTGGAAGGCACTGCGCCAGAGGATCCTCAGGTGAAGGCTGAGAGACTGAAGAAACTACAGACTGACTGCTGGACGCCACCTCCCCACCAAATAGAGACACGAAGTTCTGTACATATGCAGCTCCACCAGCACCATCGTCTTCTGTTTGACTGGTCTGACTGACCATGGGTGCAGGAAGAGGCAGGGGGCCTGCTGGGGGTATGTGGTTGCTTGAGAGCTGCAGGGAGGACATTAATGGAGTCTGGTGTAGGATTAAAAAAAACAAAAGGAAAAAAGTTATTACTTTCTTACAGTAGGATATATTAGAGAAGAGACATCACTCAAGTTCAGGTTAGTTGGAAACTTAAGGTCTGGTTTTTAAGTTTAAAACCGTTTTAAGGCTGCTTTAGCTGGATGCAGAATTATTTCCCATTTATTTAACTAATTAATTAGTAAATTATTTAAATTGCAGTGATTAGAGTTAGCCTAATATTTACTGCTAATGCCATTATGGTCAAGCTTGCTGTGACTTCTAAACTAAAGACAAGCAGAAACAAAAGAAAAGGACAACTAAGTTGCATTAATATTTGTTTTAGATCAAGTGGTATAACAAAAATAAATTAAATGGCAATGCAAAATGTGATATTGGGAATAATAAAATAGCTCACATAAATGTTTTATAAATACTTGATTTTGATTTATAATACAAAAATATGTTGATAAAAAGGAATTACAAGAAATAAAATGGGAGTGAGTATTGTTTGTGTTGCTGTAATTCTTGCCATAATAATAATAATAATAATAATAATAATTTTAATATTATGCTATAAATTTTTATTATACATTCATACTGTTTTTAAATGCAGACCTATTTACAAGCCAACACAGCTCTTAAAGGTCCAGACAACACCAGAGTTGACTTGGACTTTGAGGACTGAAAAAGGTTTCCGTATGAAAAAAATGCTGTTTATTTAAAGTCAAACAAGAATTTAATGTAAACATTTAAGTGTCAACTTAACCCCACCCAAAAAAACACTGTTGTTGCTGAATAAATCACTTCTGAAAATCATAAAGGAGAATAAATCTGACAGACACAAAATCAGAAATATTTCTAAACTGTTGTTACTTCCATGGTAATATATTTCAGCGAGGCATGCTTACTCCTGGAAAAATAAAGTTTTATAATATTTTAAATGGGGTTTGTGTGCATGTACATTAAGACTTAAAGATGGCTGAAGTCCTTAAAATTTAGCACAGAAAAAAACAAAAACAAAGTTGAAGCACATATTGTGATACTGGAGTGTGTCAGGGGCTGAGGTTGGGTCTGTTTACCTGCAACTGAGAGCTGCTGTTGGGTTGAGGGGTGACAGATGATGCAGTGGGGGAAACAGAGGGGAAGACAGGCTGACGGAGGCTGTGAAATAAGTCTGGAACAAGAGTCTCTATGTTAGCTGGAGGTTAGTAAACCACACTACTCCTTATGTTAGGTTAAGCTGACTCCTAAAGCAGCGTTACCAGAGCATGTGCGCACGATACCTATACAGTGTGTGCCATTAGTTTGAGTTTTATTACTGCAGCTGCAGCTGTGGGTGGTGCTTTTCCACTACCTTGTAGTGGATCGAAGGAGTCCATGAAGTCGAGGTTGGGTTGTAAGGGGATGAGTCCTGGTTGGATCATGTCTGCATTCCCTGCATGAGCTGTGAACGGTGGGGGCAGAGGGAGGGTGAGGGAGGGGGGAGGAATGTAGACAATGTAATGAGCGCAAAGCAAAAGTACGGTGGCCCTGAGGTGTAAATGACCGACATTTGAAAAAACACAACAAAAACATAACAATATTTGAAAAAACGAAATTACATTTGAAAAACAAAATTAGGCCAAAGTGGAAGTGATCGAAGTGGAAGTGGCCAAAGCGGAAGTGGCCGGAATCACATTTGGAAAAAACAGAATTACATTAAGCCAAACCAGAAGTGCTGGTGGTGGTGAATGGGGGGAGGAGTTATTTATCTTTTACTTTATTAACATAAAACTATGGTGGCCCTGAGGTGGTTTGACTTAATCTAATTCCGTTTTTTCAAATGTAATTCCATTTTTTCCAAATGTGATTCCGGCCACTTCCGCTTCGGCCACTTCCACTTTGGCTTAATGTAATTGTTTTTTTCTAAACATAATTCCGTTTTTTCAAATGTTGAGTTTTTGCTGTGTTTTTTCAAATGTAATTTTGTTTTTTGATATGCAATTCCACCCCCCCCCCCACCCCCACACACACACACACACACACACACAAAAAGTGATTCCGGCCACTTCTGCTTCGGCCACTTTCACTTTGGATAATGTAATTCAGTTTTTTCAAATGTTGTTCATTTACACCTCAGGGCCACTGAACAAAAGCTCCTAAAAGCCTTTGAGGAATTTCTCACCAATTTCTCTTGGGTTCGGCCAGGCCATGGGCTGGTGCGAGGCCAGCGTAGAGAACAAGGTGTCTGTAAACTCTGACATCAGAACGTCCATGTCAAAGAGGGGGTCCTCCATCTCCATCGGGGCGGGGATTTCATTATGCTTACGAGACCCGCGGCGTGAAGCAAACTCTTCATCCTGATAAAAGGAAGCACGGAGCATGTCTGGAGAGACTTCCCCAAACAGAGAAAACTGCTCCTCTGGTCCCTTTAATTGTTCAAAATGCAACCACCAAGTTAATGTCACACAAGCATGCCGTGTGGAGCACAATCAACAAGGGATGGCAATAAAATCATTCATGCACTAATCTTAAACCAATTTTTCTCTATGTTTAATACAATAATGTGCAAAAGGTTAAACTGAGTTAGATTTTCATTTATTGCAGACGACTGCCGGTGAAAGATCAGACTCAATTAACTTTAAGTGCCTGAAACTTTTGCATAGCGCTGTGAGTGTGTCTGCAAATGATAAGCTAAACAAAGTATGAGCTGCCAAAACCCTTTCCCATTACAGTGACAGACCATTTCTTATAAAGTAAATAAATAATGGGTTAGTTTTAGCTGTATTAACACTTAACTGAATAGATGCTAATGATATTGATCATGTGGACATCAGAAGAGCTCTGGTGAGTTAATCAGGATGTTCTCCATACCTTAAGTAAGCTGGAGAGGTCCTCATCTTTGTGCTTCTGCAGCTACAAAAGAAGAAGGACTATGTTATACAGCACTGTTTTATATTTAAAATATAAAAAAATGAAGATACACCTGCAGAAGTCAAAGTATTATCCTGACAATAATTAAAGTGTATTTAAAATAACACCACAACAATACCCTTTTCTTAAAATATGTTCTCCATTTATGATATTCTTTTATGGCAATTTCAATTCTTCTTTTCCAGCCTTTTCCATCTGTAGCAACAGCCTGTAGAAGAGAGACAGAAACAGGAACTAAGCTCAAATGTGCCAAGAGTGCACAACTTAAGGGAAGGAAGTAGCAAGAAAAACAGCAAAGCAGTTTATAGGAGACTAAACTTAAAATGAACTGTGGGATTTTGGCTAAACAAATCTGTCATTCAGTACTTCTCAGAGTCACCAAACTTTCCTGTATTTACCTCTGCAGGACGATGAACATCTGAGTCCATGTTTCCATCCAGGGGCGTTGCAAAGTGACAAACAGGATTTCCCCTTTTCTCAACATCTGAGGAAATAAGATATGACATAATCAATCAGCTTCATAGTCCCAAAGTGTGCAAACACATTTAGCTTCAGGCTCACAGCTTGCATAACGCTTTGCCCTGCTTGTATTTATCTTTGTGGCAAAAATTAAATTTACTATTTGATGTTGGCATGCAATCAAAGCTCTGCTAGTCCATTTAGGTTTTAAAACTGTATTTTTCTTGATGACTTCATAAACAGAAACCAGTCCCCAAAGCTTATGAGTTTAAACATTATGCTGCAGGGACTGGTAAGAACAGGCTGACAAACATGAGAGCTACAACTTTAAATAAATAAATAAATCACAAATTTATATACAAAACATCTTTCAAACACAAGTGCTACTCAAAAGTGCTGCACAGCAAAATTAAAAGCTAAAAAAAAAAAAAAAAACATTAGAGATTAAAAGAAAAATTACAAACAAGAAGTTTAATTTGTAAGAATTTTCTTTAGGGTTGATGTTTCACTTCGAGTCTTATGCCTTCATGCACCCTGCAGCTTTGGTCAAAACAATGTCACGCCTCACTAAACATGAAACAATTTGACCACACTCTCAATTCCAAGTCAAATAAAATGTTGAACTCTTACACTGCATGTACCAGGCTCTCCATATGGCATTGTTAAGTCGGATCTTGTCCCTCCAGAGCAGTTTGAGACCTTTAAAGTTCTTCCATTTGGGAGAAACTAATTTTCCACTAGAAAGACAAAGAAAGAAAGAATTTAAACAAATTCTCAGATTATAACAGACATAAACCACAGTAATGTAAGCATATAATAACATCCAGTGTCTGAAGTTGCAAATATATTTGTCAGATATTTCATTCAAATAATTTATAATATCACAAAAACCCCTTTGGTCGGGGTGCTCTTGTAAATGAGATCTTAAAATCTCAATGAGTTTCTCTTGATAAAATAAAGAATTAAATGTCAACACATGACCAAATAAAATCAATCTTAATCAGATGTAGGACAGAAACTAATATTTATGCCAGAATTGTATGATCACAGGAATTTAAATGTCCCTCCATCCATTATCTTCCTCTTATTTCAAAGTCGGGTCTCG